CCCCAAACCCTTTTTTTGTTTGGGCTTTTGCCTCTTATTAAAAAGATGGTATTTGAAACACCATTTGGTGAGACAACCAAATGGTTCTCAACAAGTTGGTGGCTTTCATCTACACCGTGATTGGTGTGAGAAGTCGGGTTGATGAAGGAAGAGGAAAGGAAGCGCCAACAACAGCAGCAATAGAGGTGCGATTGAGAGGTGAAGAGTGTTGCGTTTGTTTGTCGAGGATGGAAGAGGGAGAGGAGAGGAGGAGGCTGCCATGTATGCATGAGTTCCATAGGGAGTGTGTGGATAGGTGGGTGAGTACGTGCAGGAATAATTGCCCAATTTGCCGGTTTTCTATGGGGGAAGAGAAAAGGTCAAGGGAAGCCTTCACTGAGGAGATGTTGATCTGGTTTTCTTCTTTCCATATAGCCGGTTTCTAGCTAGCCAAACAAGAGTCGGGAGGGGGAAAATTAAAAATTAATTTCCATTGCCGGGAATTGAACCCGGCACTCCTGGATATCTTAACCACTGAACGATAATGGAATTGTTGGTCTAAATGATGTTGGGTGATTTTCATTGTTGTTTCAAATTTCATGCAATGGGTATTTGCCTTGATGATGTTGGGTTTTTTCCTCCCTTCAATTTGTTTCAAGTTTCATGCAATGGGTATTTGTTTATCTCCCTTTGTTCAATGATTTTTCTTGGTTAAAGTTTAAAAAGCAGTTATTAAACAATTATAAAATATTTTTATATTACAATTTTAAAATTTATAAATAAAAATATTTCATTTTAAATTTTATTACAAAATGAATATTATATGCTTAGTTGTTGTTAATAGAATAATGTGGCACTGATACATTAATATTAATAAGTAATATTTTTAAATAAAAAAACTAACCACTAAATTAGACTAAAAATTAATCCAATAATCTACCAAATTTATTATTTTACTTACATAAATGTTAAATTAAAATTAAAAATGTTTTTTTTTTTTGAAATTTCTTAGATTCAAATCTGGATAAAAGAAAGATTATTTAAAACATCAGCACTGCAGCAAGAATGATTGAATATTTATTATCAAATGATTGAGAATATTTAAAACATATACTATTTTATAATCAATTTTAACTTATTCATAAAAGAAAAAAAATGTTGTATGTTGTTTGTTTCCTGTAACGTATATATATAATTTGGAGAAACATACATAACATCCATCCTGGCTTAAGCAGTTGAACACCTAACCCTCTATTAAGAGGGCAAGGTTTGAGTCCAAGAATTCTCCTGGAGTTCGTTTAATTTTATATACATATATAAAAGAAATATCACTTTGTGTCTCATTGCGTGAGGAAACGAATACACAGGATAATAAAACAAGACTAATCAAAACAAAAATATTCAAACAAAGCCAAGCACAGCAAGCTTCCCACAAAAAAACCAACTTCAACACCAAGTTCTAACCAATATCCTCATGCAACACGTTAATGATATCTCAGCAAGGGGAGAACAAGGCATTTGAGTTTCAACTATATCAGGTCCCGCACTTCTCGCTAACCTGTCAGCAACACTATTCCCTTATCGCAACACATGCTGGAATCGGACCTTCCAATGACGATTAATTAAACCATAAATATATATAGTCCACAATAGTTAACGACCTACTCCTCGAAGGATGATCACAGATCTCGACAATCACTCTTCTCATACTCGTATTCCAGGCGCAGTGGAGACCAACGTAAACTCCCAGCTCCGCTTCCAAAACTGAGTAACACTAAAAAATTTCTTAAAACTCATCATCCATACTCTCTCGTGAACCTGAATAGCACCCCGCACGAAACCATGCCAGTACTCTCCTTTCTTGATCCTCCTGTGATAACTTTAACCCACAACTCCAGTAGAGGGCTCCAACTTGCAGCTCTCATGGTCGTTCCAGTACTTTGTCTTGCGTGAGTTATGTTCCCTCGTTCAATGGCCCTTCAGGTCAAAATTTGAAGCCTCCTACTCCTCTCAATAGTTTCAATGTTGTCCTCCAAAGGATTATCGAAAACAATGGAATTCCGATAGAGCCAAATATTTCATAATATCGAATCAAACAAGATATCCCAATTTTTACAATACTCCATGTTCACCGGATTGATTCGAATCCAATTCCTAATATACAATGACATAAATTCATCACATTTATCATCTTTAATCAAAAGCACCCAAATTGGGAAAACAGCCTAACATTTACGATGCACATGATCAACATCTTCCATTGGATTACCGATAAGTGTCGGTACAAGTGGTTGAGACTCAAGAATTTGAGCTTGTGATGTTAGGTTTGAATCCTACCACCGTCACTCTGGGTGGACAATTTGTAAATTCCTATGTAAATCTCAATTGAGTCTTAGATATGCCTTGAACCTGAATTGGGGTCATCCCTAACCTAATTTTTTTCTAAACAAAAAAAAAATATCTTCCATTGGATCTGTACATAACGGACAGTTATCATTGTCTATAAAATGACGTTTAACACGCTCAGCATTAGTCATTATTTTACCCCAGCAGACCAACCAAAGAAAACTCTTCAAACGTTGAGGCCCCTTGGCCTTGTACTTATTTATTGCTTTCCAAACTGGGTCTTTCACAACATTGTTAGAATCTGTTTGAACCTCATACGTCGTTTTAATAGTAAACCGTAAGGCATCACACCTCGCCCAACCAAAAGTATCCTCCGCTCCACCTTGGCATGGACCTTTAGTTTAGTAGCAGCCAACCTCAGGAGCACATGCATAGGCAACAGATTTCAAACATCGGCCACTTCCAATTACCAGCAGTATTGGCCATACTAGTTACCGAAATGTTTATGCACCGTCTCACATTGTGTTTATTAGCGTCGGTAATTAATGGCCTCAAATCTGAAACACCAGTAAGATTATTATAGTCATCTTGCCACACAATAATAAGTCCTTTCCCGAGTCTCGAACAATATAGTAATAATTAGATACTAAACTTATAGTTTACTCTTAATCTTAACTTCCTGCTCATAAGTGGGGTGTGATACGTAATGAATTCCCATATTTCCACCAAGTGTTGAATAACAAATAAGATTTGATTCTTCATCATCATCATCGGCGGAGATTCTCTAAGAGGTATGGACACCTGTTTTATTCGTAGGATAAAATGCCCTCCCACTTGCAGTCTCTAAACTTCTCTTGGGGATTTGAACCCTTCTTCTCCTTCCTATTCTCCATGCCCTTTCAGTATAATTATGCATTTGTTTTTCTTATGGAAATATGTTTCAAAACATAATCATCAAACTTTATTGGAAAACAATTGGATGAAAAAAAAATATTCACATCCCATTCATTATCTGCGAAAGCTCAGAGGTTCAAGGAAAAAATGTAATTACTCACTCTTTATGGGTCAACCTTAAACTTGAAAACCTTTTAAACCAGACTTTTAATGGTCATTTCCGATGAAGTTCCTTACGGTATGTAGGAGTTATATTAGAAGAATTCAACAAATTATCTGACTATAAAAACGTAAGGTAGTGGTGAAAGTAGCTGAGATTTTGACTGAAAAACAACCCATTTCTCAAGTTTACGATAAAACTCAATTGTAAAATATTAGACAACGTGACTATAACAAGACTAGGGGAAGCAGCTGTCAACTGCTGCAATAACCAAGTGAGAAAAGTCAGCAGCAGCCAACAAGCGATGGGAGGGGATAAAATAAATAAACAAATTCCATTGCCGGGAATTGAACCCGGGTCTCCTGGGTGAAAGCCAGATATCCTAACCACTGGACGACAATGGACTCGTTGAAAAAGATTATGTTCCGTAAACTTCATTGTTTTTACGCGATTTGTTTATTTCCCCTTTGTTCAACGATTTTGTTATAAAAAATTAAAAAAAAAACTTTTTTGGACATAAAAATTTTGATTGGAAAGTTCTTTTAATATCAAACCGCAACCACAACAGTGTTAAACTAATAGATAACATAGAATCTACCACGATTCAAGCACTTAAATGTTAGATTCCGATGGTGTGGAGTCTGATTCTATTGGAGACTGGTCTACTAATTTCCAAATTTGAGTTCCCAAAGAGAATTGAGAAAGTTTATCGATACATTAGGTTATTCTAGCCAGTCTAATCTGATCTTAGGGTGTTTGGCCAGAAAAATATGTATATGACCAAAGGTGAATTAATGCCCTATTTATTCTCATCGAAATTCAAAAACAAAGGAATACAAATCATTTTCAACTCCATTAATACCGTTATTATTTCATCTTTGCAGGCTATGAGTGAAACGCATTTAGTTTCACGATAACCTCCATTTTAAAAGTTTGGAAAGATTATGAATAATTTAAGCAATTGAATAAGGTAAAAAAAAGAGAATATATATATATGTGTGTATAATAAAAAAACAATAGTATTCTACAGCCAGTCAAAGCACCACAAGCTCCAAAACATTAAGCCACACACAAGAGAAGACCCAGATGCGAGATGGTTGTTTTGGAAGGTTTGTCCAACAAACGGAGGACAAACTTTATGAAGCAAAAGCAAGTAGCAGATATAATAATAGTAATGTAAATAAGTACATATATATATAATTTAAAGTGCAATTCTTGGTAGAGGGCGTACGCCTCGAAAGGAAAGGGAAAAAAGAAAAAGCATATGTAGGCATGAATAGCAGTATTAGTACTGCTGCAGAGCCAGCAGCAGAGGATATTCAACTTGCACACAACCCATCGCGCGCCACAATTATGCAGATGCATTAAAAGTAGTTCCTTCCCATCCAAGTTTTTATTCTTTTTCATTCGCCCTGGCAAACCAAGGCTTATCTAAACCACCCCCAAATGTTTCTTTTATTTTGGATAGGAAAATGAAAATCCCCCAGATTTTAACACCAACACCAGCAATACCAAATAGTAAAACGAAAATCCAACATAGAAACCAAAAGAAAACAATTTGATAAGCATCATCAAGTCTCTAGGCTCACTTTTTCCCGCTTTTCCAAAAGGTGTTTTCCTGTTCTTGTAAAGTTTTTCTCTAATTTTCCGTACGAGAAACTGTAGTTCATCGCAATTAGGCAACACGAATATCGTCAACAAAGGCAAAATGATGACCCCATGGTGTCAAAATCATTCTCTACTCTATTATTCCAGGAACTCTAGCAAGGAACAACAAACGTCGGCACATTTTGCTTATTTTCAATTATTTGCCGGACCACTTTGAACACCTATGGCAGTTCCCTCACTGTTGAATTGCTGTGGCTGATTATTGAAGTCCCCGAATAATGGTCTACCTGATAGTCCACCAGCATTAGAATCTTCTTGGCTCTTTGCGCCACTCTGGTTCGCATTTCTCTGTTCCAGTGAAATATTCTGAACAGGAGCCACCAGCATATCCTGACCAGATATGGCAGGGAATTGAACAGAAGGTGGCATTATCCATCGCATCCAATCATTCCGCTTCCTTACTCTGTCACCCTAAAATGTGGAAGTGATTAAGATACCACATCAGTCTAGATATATGTTCTAACAAAACCATTAATTAAGCATTCAACAATAAGACGCATGCATGTCTTATGGTCAATATGACCAGATTTCATTACTGATCAAAAACATGTATATACCAGGATTATCAATATAGAAAGTACCTGCACTTCCACAACTGTTGAACTTTGCAGAGCATCCGTTATTAGCTGAATATTATCTGTCAATAGTGAAACCTGAAAAGGGGAAGCATAAAAAATATTCTTTGCAAAGCAAGCTTTAAAATATATGCTTTCAGAGAAGCAAAATCATACTACAAGCTTATCCAACAGCTAAGTTTCTGAACCATTGGTCAAGAGCATAAGACGCACTCCAGAACCCTTATATTGCCTGAGGCAAAAAGTGCGAAAGAAGCACTTTTCTAAGTGAAGTGTGTGCTCTTTTGTACGAGGGTAAAATAAGCATACGATCTATAATTATGATAATAAACTCTAAAGATTGATCCAGTATATCAACAAAACATGCAAAATTATCTTTTAATTATGTTGGTCAATAAGCATGATTTTCTCCTTGCCCCATTTCTGTTGTATACTCAAATGTTGAAGAGTTTGGTATTATCCCCATTCTTACTAGCAGGGAGAACTTCAATCAAGCAGACATTTTTTTTATGGTTATATCCTTACAAAAAAGCATGTGTAGATGCACCAAATGTGCACCTAATCAAAAGTATCTTGCATAAAGGGGTTTGAGGAGCTTTCGTTATTTGAGGCACAATGCCTAGAAGCAATGCTCATTCACTAACTGACCTGGAAAGAAACAAGGACAGTCGATCACTACTATATACAAGACTGTTGTCTCTAGAAAGTGATGCTAACTATTTAAGCTGGAAAGACACGAGGAAAACCAGTTGGTGCATTATGTTGAAGAACATCTGTCTTGTATACAGAACGTCACAGGCCTTTGGCAAAAGGTTAAAATGTTATATAAGCATTCCAATAAACTTATGAGTCCCTAATATGAAAAAAAAAGTAACAGTCACGATAACAAGCTAATATTGTGAAAATTTTGTTTGATTTCATGCAAACTACATTGATTTTTATCTACTTGGAGAAAACTAATGAGAGAGATTTTCATGGGCATTGGACAAGAACAAAATCCCTCTCAAATATGTACGTATGACAGGATACACATGCAGTGATGACAAACATAAGAACTTGTTATTTAGAGGATATTTATGACAGAGAACTTAGAGACATACTTTGATATGTTTTGAACAAGAACACAGTTAAATATGTTAGTGTACCGAGGTATGTATGAAGGAGTAATTATGAAGATAAGAACTCATGGTTGATTGAAATATGAAATGCTGATTACAATATGGTTGCATCAAGGATCAGCGTAAGATAACGAAAGAAATTCAAGATGGATACTTTTGTGTATGATACCTGCAGATGATATGGTATTGGCTAAGAAACAGAAGGGATTAATTTAAAATCAAAGTCTTTTAGACAAATGCTAGAGCTCAGGGTGTAGATTGCACAGAACAAAACCAATCAAACGATGTGTACCTTTCAAAATATAAGGATAAAGGAAATGTTAGTAGAAGAGTGCTTTAAATAAATAGGGTAATAATTTTGAATGTAGAGAGGCTAGTGGAAATGTTACTCATAAGACCAAGGTTGAGTTACTTAAAAGTGAAAAGTGCAAAAGGAGGCTACAGCTCCAATTTTTCTATATGATACAGAATGTTGGTTAACGAAAAGCAATGTGTACGCAAAAGAGAAGTGTAGACTAAAACACATATTAAGAAGGATGTGTAGTAAGATTAGGAAAGCCTTAGAAATGAGAATATTCATATCTAAGTTGGGATAGCTCCTATATAGGAGAGGGTGGGGCCCTTTACAGTGGTTTTGTGATATAAGAATAGGGGTGTAAATGAATAGAGCTTGAACGAACAAGGTTATGTTTGTGTTCGTTTATTTATTTTTGAAGGTGTTCATGTTTGGTTCGTGTTCGTTTAAATTTTCAATATCGTGTTCATGTTTGGTTCGTGTTCGTTTAAATTTTCAATATCGTGTTCATGTTCGTTTATTTATTGTTCATGAACATTTTCATTTAATGGTCACGAACATGTTCATTTTTATGTTCACGAACGTGTTCATAAACATGTTCGTTTAATGTTCGCGAGCGTGTTCATAAACATGTTCGTTTAGCGTTCGTTTAATGTTCGCGAATGTGTTCGTTTATCTGTTCACGAATGTGTTCATGAACAAGTTCGTTTAGCATTCAATTAGTGTTCGTTTAGCGTTGTTTTAGTGTTTGTTTATCGTTCGTTTATATATTCAATTTTTAACTTCATTTGCAAGCTAAAGAAAAATGATAAAATTATGCCACTGATGCTTAAACTCCTTAAAATTCATAGTTTAAAATGCAATTTTTATCATGTGTTCTATTTAATCCTTATCTTCACCAATATTTAAAATGTAAAAAATAAAAGGAAAAGGAGAATTGGGTAAACGAGTTTGTTCATGAACATAAATGAACGAGTTTATTCATGAACATAAACGAATCGAACACACCTCTGTTCGTGTTTGTTTGTTTATTAAATGAACATAAATTTTTTGTTCATGTTCGTTTGTTTATTAAATGAACATAAATTTTTTTATTCATGTTCGTTTATTTAGCTTAACAAACGAACGTTATATGAATGGTTCACGAACAGTTCACCAAATATTATGTTCATTTACACCCCTATATAAGAATCTTATAGCATTAATTTTAAGAGAATCATCACGGAATGATGAAGAGGGATAAGTTCCCAAAAAGAAAAGCCAAAATTTTATATAGGAAAATTAGAACATCAAATATCTCAGGCAGATACATACGAAAGTAAATAATCAAGTTAAGTATATACTATTTATTAATATCTCCAAATTATTAAACAAAAACTATTCTATCAAAAAAAATTAAACAAAAACTAAAAGCATAAACTCATTGCGATTTGGGCTTTGATCCAGCTCAATGTTAACAATAATAAATAAAAAAAAGAACTTATAACATATACAAACAAGAAATTGGAGAAAAGGAAAATGGAAGAATTCCAATGTACCTCACCATAAGTAATAAAGACAAATGCTTAAAGGTTAAATATCTCTAAAAGGAGTAAACAAGTTCAACCAGGATCAAATGGGTGGGGGTGTACTTGTGTATAACAGCAGGGTATAGCAACATAGATATTAATCAACTAATGCTAAGAACATGCACTGATAGCAATGCTAATATAATCAACAAATATATCAACAAAATGATAGCCCGAGAAATAGCATTCCTTCAGCATTGGGCACAAAAATAATTAATGATAGATGCCTTACATGCCAAAGTATAGTTTTGACACGTAAACAAAAGGTTATAAGTACAAAAATTTGAAGGTACATCTAGAACACAAGCTGCTCGAAAATAACACTAATCCTAACAGACGGGCTTAATCAACGTGATCTAATAACCGAATGTAAATTTATTGGAAGTATGTTCACTCTAATGACCACGAGAAAAGAAAAACATGATAGAATGAGGACATTCAAGACCAAATATAAAAGATTGAGCCAGCAATAACAGAAATTATAGGAAATATTATTAACACACAATAAAACACGAAAAGGATATTTAAATTGTATAGACAATTGCATTTAGACGAGTTCCTGTCCATTGGAATTATCTAACCAAACAATGAAACTACCAATAACATCTCTCACAAAAGAAGTCAAACCAAATGCATTGTAAAGTTTCAAATAGTTTTCATTAGTGAGCAGGAATGTGCTTATGCTAAAAGCATCAAGTAACATTCATGAAAAATATCAACTAGTAGCAAACGTGAAAGTGAAGACTAGGTTTCTTAATTCTAGGGATCTTGGTTTTAAAATGCGGGATGCACTCTGATGCGTTTAGTTCTCCGAAGCCGATGCGTAATGCGTGATGCGCTCGCAAATTTTTCACAAAAAAATAGACAAGTACGCGTAAGAAAATCAAAACAACCAAAAGACAAATCAACAATAGCCCCCACTTCCCTTTCCCCCACTAAGTTCTCCAAACTTTCTCTAGTCACAAACTAAATGTCTCCAAGATCCCATCATCAAACCCGAGCACGTCTCCATCTCCCTCATCATCATCAGTCACTCCAATGTCTTCCTCCATCTCATCTTCATCAACAAGAGCGAGTATTTTTCCTTTATCATTTCTTGATGGGCCGACCCCATCATCACCTCCTCTTCTTGATCCTCTAGTGAAATGACTGTACTCATTAGCCCCGGAAACTCTACCCACCGCATCCCATGTAAGATCATCATCAAGAAACACCAAATCTTCTTCATCTTAAAATAACTAAATTAAGAGATCAAAATTTAATTTGAACTATAGTGTGAATCCATATGGTTGAATTAATGCGAAGAACTATTTCAATATAGTAGTGCATCGAAACGCATGCCCATTATCAAACAGAAAAAGATCCGTTACTAAGCCCGCCCAAGAGTTCGAGGCATGCGTCACATCCTCATCAACTAACATCCATGCAAAGCTGCTCAACCAAACACGCGCACAATACTCCATACTCAATTACAACATTACACCTTTCTAGATAATACGGTACACACGTATGATAAAGGTGTATTAAATATACACTTCACCTCCCTCCTTATAACGCCACCCTCACAGCTCTCTTTTTCACCTCAACATCCCTCTTTCATCATCTTACACTCCGTTTTGCCCTTCTTTTGTCGATCTCTTTCATTGTACGATCAGGGCTTTTCATCATGTCGAATGATCAAAAGAAACCCATGACACAGAAGCTGTACGAGTCAGCTCCATCATCTCGGTAGGCGGCCAAGTTTTTAACGGCGACCACACTTAGTGCAACGTTGCTTTTCTTGTCAGGGTAAACCTTGACCGGGACTGTGGCGGCCAAGATTTTACTAAACGCCCAAAAAAACTTTTACTAAACGCATCGGCACGCATCGGCCCGCATCGGCCGCATCGGATCGCATCAGACCGCATTATGTACCCCTACCACAGCAGGCTGCCAGATGCGCTTTGACCATCGCAACGACCGCATCACGCATCAAGCGCGCCTGATGCGCGCTTTTTTAAACCAAGCTAGGGATTTTAATTTATTTTCTGGGAAATAGAAAAATAGCTTAAAAATCCATAATTGACAGTTTCTCGAACTTTAGTTTCTAGAAAAAACCAACAAAACCGGGGACAATGCAAATTCCAGAAGTTTCCTTCCATAGTTTTGCAACTTTTTCAAAACAAAAAGCTGACGCTTTACTATTTCAAGGAGTATTAAACCCAAAGGAAATATCTCTCTCTCCATTGCTTTTTGTTTCAGGAAAAGCTCCTCTTTTAATGATAAGTCCAGTAGGCAAGTGTTATAAACTTACACAAGAACTGTCTCAAAGCACATAAATTCACAATCAGACATATGAAGCTAGCTTCAAATTCTCAAATAAACTCACCTTTTTGAAGCCAGCTATTAATTGAATAGGAACCCAGCCCTGATCATCCATGTTCTGCCTCAAGTACGTGTCCTTAATTAGATTTTCATTACTGCAACAAAGAAACATGCAGTTAGTTTTTTGGATAACCTCAAATACCAAGATATGGACACAGGATTAACTAAGTTGACCTAGGCATCAAGCAAACAAAGCATTACCTGAAATAATAATCTATCTGATTCACTATACTAGCATGCAACTGACTGTCATGAAGCTGTGGAGCTGGGAAAAACACTGGGGGCATTGGTGCAACAAATGATAAAGCTCCAAGTGAATCTGGAGGAACAGCTGGGACCATATATAGAGATGGCATTTCTGAAAGGAGGTAGAGAGATTATGGATAGACTTCGAATGCCACTCATCCTTAACCCCAAAAAGCAACAACAATAGTGAAAGTACAACTTACCACCAGGATACCCCATCGGGGTGCCAAAAGGCCGCAAAGGAGTATGAGCAATAAAAGGTATACTATTAGGCACCAGAGGGGGTGGCGTATGCCTCATTACCCTAGGAGCGCCCCTTGGCTGCAGATGGCCATCTCTTTTATTGAGGTTTCGACCATGCCACTCATGATTTCCATGATCTTGATTGCGTCTGCCTCCAAAATTCTGATGGTGAGAACCATCCCCTCGTGGATGCGGACCACCATTACGATGTCTGTATGAATTCCGTGGGTGTGGATGATCATTATCATCAGAATGAGACTGTGATGCAAATCCACTTCTCTGTATGTGGTCCCAAGAAGAGGGGCTATTAACAGGTGATTCAACAACAGGACCTTGAGGCAGAGGCTGTGAGAGACCACCGTCTGCAGAGATATTACTATTACGTTTCATTGACTTCTGCTGTGCGGGAGTAGTATGGTTTGGAGTCGAATTCGAATTTGGGTTTGCAATGTTGATGACTGATTTCTGAGAAATCGTTGATGGAGACAAATTTCCACTCCCCTACAATTTAGTAAACATAGCAAAACCATAGGTATAAGTACCCTCCAAATACAAAAATTACATCATATAAAACTTAACAAGTAAATCCCTAAATAATTCTATATTCATAAAACGTCCATTTAACAGATCCATCAAATGAAATATAATTGAAATAAACCCTACAGCTGGGTTAAGAATTCAAGATTCCCTGCAGTTTTTGCCGATTCAGATTTTAACATTTAATATCTTGTTTACCGAACAGATAATAAACTATCTTCCGTTAAAACAGTTAATTTCAGCTATTTTACCTTCTGCCAATAAAATACTTGAAATGGTAAGGATGAAACTGAAACTAATAAAGAAGGGCTTAAATTTTAGGGAAAAAACCTGGGAAACGGGAACACCGGAAGGTGAAGACGATGATCCATCCTGTGAAGCTCGGGGTGAATCTGAAGAGGATTTGGAAGGACCCTTAGCGGACTTAGATAAAGCAGGCCACTTGTTGGTCCCCATAACGGTCCCAGCCTTGGCATCGCTAGAAGGTTTGTTCCAAGCGGGCTTCATACCGGCATTGCCATTAGGCCCAGAACTATCACTCCCGACGCCTTCATCTTCGTCCACCGTCGCAACAAGTGGCTCAGTCAAGGCCGTTGGTGGCGGCAATGACAAAGAGGACAAAGGCGTTATTGGAATACCCGCGATCAGATCGTTTTCTCCACCGAGCATTTCAGTCCAAGGCGAAGAAGCCACCTTCTCGGTACTATTTGATTGGTTAGGGCTGCTGGGAGAGTGATTAACAGCTGTCACTGCAGTGGAGGTATTGAAATTAGCAGTATTAATATTTGCAGACATAACAAACCCGATTTTAACAGAATTTGCGATTTCCTTTTTCTCTCTATCGACGAGTTGATCGACGAAGAAAATCACTGGGAAAAAAGAAGAAGAAGAACAATTTTGATTAAAAAATCAAACAAAATTCGTGACGAGAAAGACTTAAGAGTTAAAGTATTAGAGGCTCCGAAAATCAAAAAATTTAGGATTTTTCCAAAAATAAAAATTAGGGATTCAAAAATCCGATCGGTGAAGAGAGACGAAGATTAAAAATAAAGAAGAAGAAGAAGAAGAAGAGCAGCGATGTAGGCGCTGTAACCTCTGCTTCTCTCTCTATTTTGTTTTTATTTTCTTTCTCACTTTTTTCTTTTTAAAATGTTTTTACTTTTTGTATTCAATATATTTCCTCCAGGTCCTTGCCTAACTGCTGAGGTTTTTCATTTTTGGCTTGTTATGTATATTAATATATTGCCCTCCATTATGGGGGCAAAACTTCCCCGTTAATGTAAATGGGAATGTTTAATTCCCAAAGTAATGTTGGAATTGCCCTCCATTTGCATTAACGTGGGAGTTTTGCCCCATTATGGGGTTGCTTTCGTCAATTTAATAATAAAGTATATATATTTTTTTCTCTGCTGTAAAAAAATCTAACTAGGGTTTTTCACTTGCTTTCCTAGTTTGATTCGCAGTAAAATTCAGTTATTGGTTCCTGAATTCAGGTTCTTTTTTATGCATCGACTTTTAATAATATTTGTAAAAAAATTATCTAATTCATACATGCGTTAAATTTTTAATTTCCTTGAATATTTTTAGAAATCTTAAAATCATTATTTAAAGAATACCTAAAATCCTTAATTCTCATCTACTACTGTCAAGATCAACCACCATCGTCATCCCTTCGATTATCTGTGTAGGCCAAAGGACAAATGGCGTGTAAAAGTGAAAATGAGAATAATAACAACACTAGATTTCAATTTTAAGGAGGGTTGAACCATCCATCCACTATAGGGTGAAAGGGATTGTCGAAACAGGGATGAACGATTCAATAGAAAAAGTGATCTAAGATTCAATGATGAAAACACTGAAGTTAATGAAAATTGTGTGGGGATTTTTAACATGTTGGTGTTAAAATGGCTTAAAATTTTAAGGAGGATCAGATAAGATGGAATCTATATATGGGTAAAACACAAAATACAAGAAATTTTGGGTTGAAAAGAATATAAACTTGCATAGGAGGAAGTGATTTTAATGGCAAAATTTTTTCGTCTTTCGAAACGAAAAACAAAATTCCCCATATTTAAACACCAATAAAAAATAGTAATGCAAAATCCAACATCCCCATAGATATTAAAAAAAAACAATTCGATAGGCCTAGATGGTTTTGTTCTACTATCTCAAGTTTCAATATTTTCTTGTCTTCTCGTACAGTTTCCCCCAACTTGCTGTACCCATGGTGTCAAAATCATTCTTTCCTCAATCTTCCAGGAACTTTTGCAAGAAGATATGTACATCAGCACAGTTTGCTTAATTTGAATCACTTGCCGGATCACCTAGAGCACCAACAGTTGTTCCCTCAGTATGGTTAGCAGTTCTCTGTTCCATTGAAAGATTTTCAACACTAGCCACCGGCGCACCCTGACCAGTCCTGTTATGGAACTGAACAAAAGATGGCAATATCCATCGCATCCAATCGATCCGTTTCCTTACTTTATTATCCTATAATGTAAAAGCAAAAGAAAACACATCAGTTTAGTCCCATGTTCTAAGAAAACCATCAATTAAGCATCAACAATATAAGACGCATGCATGTCTTCATAATTGATAAGAACACACATTTCATTAATGATTAAAACATTCATCCATGATTTTCCATGTAGAATGTACCTGAACTTCCACGACTGCTGAGCTTTGCAGAGCATCGGTTATAAGTTGAAGATTATCCGTCAACTGTGAAATCTGAAAAGAAGAAGCCATAGAAAATGTTACCTTTGCACAACAAGCTTTAAGAAGAATTGCTTTGGGTGATGAAAATCATACTAAAAGCTCAACAGCTAAGCTTCTGAACCAATGTTGTCGAGGGTTGTAATACGCACACTAGACACTTGAAACACCTTACATTGTCTGAGGCACAAAGTGCTAAAAAAGCACTCTGAGTGAAGCGTGTGCTATTTTGTATGCATGCAAAACAAGCTTATGATTTATAAGTATGAGAACACACTTTAAAGATCAAGCTAGTATATCTCCAAAATATGCAAAATAATCTTTTAATTATGTTGGTTAATATGCATGATTTTCTCCTCAACCTGTGTCGGTTGTAAAATAAGCTCTTCATTCAAAAATAGTAATTAAAAAAGAAAAACATATACCATGCCACTTGAACAAGTTGGAGAAAAAGCAAATGGAAGTACTACAATGTATCTCAACATAAGTAATACAGAGAGAGACTTGTAAATTAAACTACTTCAACCAGAGTCTCATGCGTAGGTGTGTTTGTATGTCAGTAGGGGATATCCATATAGAACATACAAATATTAATCCACTGATAGAATGAACATGCATTGAATGCATGCTAAGCTAATCTATAGATATACAAACAAAATGATAGTATGAAAAATATTAATTTCTTCAGCATGGATGTATATGAATAGTTAGTGACGGAAACCTCACATGCCAAAATATAGTTTTGCAACTTAAATAAAGCAGTTGTAAGTCTTGAAATATAGAAATAAATCTAGACTGCAAGTTGCAAGAAAATAGCACCGACCCTTGCACAAGAACTTACCCAACATGATTTAGTAACTGAAAATAAATTTATTGGAAGTTTTCTTTATGACCACAAGAAAACGACAACATAATATCACAAGAACAATAAAAACCAAATGAAAAGATCAAGCTAGCAGTTACAACAATGACAAAAAACAAAATAAAACATGAGTTGATTATTTAAAATTGTATAGAAATTCCTGTCAAAAAAGTACAGACAATTGCATTAAGATGAGTTTCTGTCCTTGAATTATATCGCCAAAAAATACCACTATCAATAACGTTTCTCACAAATAATAGTTAAATATATGCATTTTAAGATAGAATTCAACAAAACCTGAAACATAGCAAAATTCCACAGGTTTCCACCACCTTCAAAATTTTAAAATGCATAGTTGGCAGATCCTATTTCACAGTGTATTAAACCCATAGGAAATATCTCATTCACATCTGTGCTATAAGGAATGGGGGGTGCAACCAAAATGTATTTTCTATTACAACCAAATAAATTTATGAACATATTTTTTTAGTTTTTCAAAATCATCAATTAGAATAGGTTTGTTTTTAATGATAACCACATAAACTTGTGGTGATAGAATACCAGATGAATCCCACGACAAGCATAAACGTTATGAACTTGAATAATGCAAATGTATAATCATGAAAAAGCTCTAAACAGAGAAACATTAAAACACAAAATTATATCCAAAACCTTAAAAATGGTACCTTTTTGAAGCCGGCTATTAATCTAATAGAAACCCAGCCTTGCTCATCCATGTGTTGCCTCAAGTAGGTATCCTTAATTAGATTTTCATTACTGCAATATAGAAACAAGCAGTTAGTTTTCTGGATAAACTGAAATAGCATGAAATGGCAACTTAACTAACCAAGTAGACCAAAGTCATTATGCAAAATAATGCATTACCTAAAATAATAATCTATTTGATTCATTATTCTAGTATGCAACTGACTGTCTTGAGACTCTGGAGCAGGGAAAAACACCGGGGCTATTGGTGCAACAAATGGCATGCCTCTAAATGACTCAGGAGGTGGAGCCGGGACTACATAAAGAGATGTCAATTCTGAAAAGAGGTAGACAGATTAGGGGCAAGCACAGAATGTCACTCATCCAGTCATCCTTAACCCAGAAAAGCAATAACAATATTGAAAGTAAAGATTACCAGAATACCCCATTGGGGTGCCAAAAGGCCGCATAGGAGTATGAGCAATAAATGGTATAGTACCATGCGGTGGAGGAGGAGGTGGATGCCTCATTAACCTCGGAGCAACTCTTGGTTGCATGTGACCACCCCTGCTATTAAAATTGCGGCCATTCCACTCATGATTTCCATGATCTTGATTTCGCCTTCCTCCAAAGTTCTGATGGTGAGAACCATCTCCTCGTGGATGGAAACCACCATTACGATATCTAAAAGAATTACGTGGGTGTGGGTGATCATTACCACCAGTTTGAGACTGTGGTACGAATCCACCTTGCTGTGTGTGATCCCTAGAAGAAGCATTATTAATGAATGATCCAACTCCATGACCTTGAGATGGGGGCTGTGAGAGACCACCATTTGATGCTGAGTTATCACTATTACGTCTCATTGGCCTCTGGTGTCCAGGACCGAAATGGTTCTGAGCCAAATTTGAATTTGCATTTGCTCTGTTACTAACTGGCTTCTGTGGAGTTAACGATGAAGACACACTTTCTCTACCCTGCAATTTGGTAAACATAGAAAAACATTCAAGACAAACAGCCTTGAAAAAATTACATCATGTATAAATTTAAGCAAGTGAATATCCAAATACTTCCTCTATTCATACATAACGTCCATTATACAGATTCCATCACATGAAACATAATTCATATAAACGCTACAGCTGAATTAAGAATTCCAGATTCCTTGCATTTTTTGCCAATACAGATTTTTAATATTTAATATCTTGCCTGCCCAACGATTAATTTAAATTATTTTAACAACTGGCAATAAAATACCTGAAACGGTAACTATTAAATTGAAATCAATAAAGCTGGACATATACTTTAGGAAAACAAACCTGAGAAACAGATACCTTGGAAGGAGAAGCTGATGATCCATCGAATGAACCTCGGGGTGAATCTGAAGAGGATTTGGAAGGAAACCTAGCCGACTCAGACAAAGCAGGCCACGTGTGGGCCCCCATGACGGCCCCAAACTCAGTAGAGCCCTTAGAAGCTTTATTCCAAGCGGGCCTATTACCGACATTGTCATTAAGCCCGGTATCCGCATTCTCGTCGCTTTCCTCCTCTTCCTCCGTCGCGACATGCGGTTCCGTCACAACCTTGGACGGTGGCGGTGACGAAGAGGACGAATGCGTTAATGGACTACCGGCGATCAAGTCGGATTCCTGTCGGACGATTTCAGTCCAGGGCGGAGAATCGGTCCTCATGGGACGATGTGATTTGTTGGGGCTAATGGAAGAGTGATTCATAGCTGTCACTACAGCGGAGATATTGGAATCAGCCATAGCAAACCCTTCTTTTATAGACGGAGAAAAAACACTGCAAAAACGGAGGAATGAAACAATATTTGGGAGGAGGAGAGATAGTGCGACTTGCCCCTCGGTTTTTTGGGTTCGGTATACTCCTCAGATTGATTTTACTTATTATATTGCCCCTCGATTTAGGGGTTATTTATTGATGGAATGTAGTGTGATTTTACTGCTGTAAAATATCTAACTAGGGTTTGTATTGCTTCTCCTTGTTTGATCCGATGTAAAACTCTGTTTCCTGTAATTCTTTATTTCTATTCTCTCGTTAGACTCACATAATGATACTTATTTTTTTAATTGAATTAAATTTATTTAAAATAATTTTAAAAATTTTAATGTGACTAAAATTTAGTTAGTATTATAAAATTGTAGATATATATATATATATTTTTGAATTGAAATAATGTAGTGATATCAAAACAAAACAGACACTTAAAATTACATATTTTAAATATAAATATAAATAATTCCATATGTGAAAATTAAATTTATAACAGGGAATAATAACGGGTGAGACATATTTTTGGTGGCTCTACTCTAATCCAGAAAAACTTACTTTAATCTAACATGACTCTACATAGTAGAAGCACAATCTAATCTCTATTTTTTAACCCAAAAAAAAACTTAATTATCCTTTATGACCCAAAAAGAATTAATTTAAAAACTCTTAAATATATTATAAAAAATAGAAATATATTGTATTAAATATTTCACAACGAGTTTCAACTGTGAATCTGATTTTGACTTGACCTAAAAAAATTTAACAAAAGATCACTCAATCACTGCAACTTCGATTTTTAAAAATTCACCCTAATCATATTTGGTCAGATCAGAATCTGTTAAAATCGGAAGAAGAAAAAAGTTATCGCTTTAATGTGATAAAAGGTATGTGTATATAAATTTTGGTCATGTGTTTGAACTCAAATAATGAGTTTTTATCATTTTATTTAGAGATTTATAAAAGTATTTAGAGACAAAAAAAAATCTTATAAAAATATTTATTATATTTAAAAACAGGGATAGATTTGTTAGTTACAGTCTAGAGTTGATTTTGACATCAAAGTTAGTTAAGATTTTAATTATTAGTATTGATAAATTTATTAAAAAGTAAATATACTATGTAAATAATTTTAATTATTAAAATAAATTGTCGAATTAATATACTTAAAGTGATAAAAATTTTGTGAAAATAAATTATCAAATTTTAATATTTTTATTTATCCTTTAAAACATGAAAATATAAAAGAGCCTTATAAAAATATTTATTATACTTAAAAAGAAAAATAAATTAATAATTTTCAATTGAAATAGTATTTGAATTAATTTATAATATTAAACTTAATCAACTTTTTCTTTTGTCCTTCCGATTGTCAAGATTTCGCTTTGATTAATCCTGACCAACCCGGTAATATATAGGTTATATATGTTATTTCTCAATTTAGTACAACATACCAATTTTTATGAATCCAAAATATGGCACGTAATTGTGAAAATAAATTTTTCTATAAATAGAAAAAAGCACAAACTTTCTAATTATTTAAATATTCAATAGTTATATTAAAATAGATATTAAAATCAACATTCAGTAGTTATATTAGACCCAAATTAAAATTAGAATTAAAATATTATTAGGATGTTAATAAATATTCAATCAATTAAATTAATCATGTTTTGTCCGATTAACCTATGTACAATAACTTATAATTGGTCACCAAGATTATCGTAACTAGGCTGAAACCGTTTCTTTTTTATATGGATCTCTGAGAAACAAGCGAGCTTTGTTCCGGGAAAAAATATCACTGATAATATTATCATTGCTCAGGATATCATTCATTCCATGAGAAGGAAACCTGGGATCTACGCGTGGATGACCATTAAAATCGATATGGAGAAGGCGTATGATTGGCTTGAATGGAGCTTCATTGATGATACTCTCCAAGATATTGGTATTCCTGATGCTCTCCGTACTCTTATAATGCAATGTATGTCTTCAATTTCGATGCAAATTCTTTGAAAAAGGTCGATGTCGGATTCCTTCATACCCTCCAGAGGTATTCGTCAAGGCGATCCGATTTTACCGTATCTTTTTATCTTGTGCATGGAATGTCTTGCTCAAAGTTTTTTTTTTTTTTTGGCAGATGATATGATCTTGTTTGCAAGGGTTTCGATTGATCAATTGTATCTTATTCATGATGTTCTTAACAATTTTTGTTCAGCTTCGGGATTAAAAGTGAGTATTGCCAAGACCACTATGTTTTTCTCCAAAGAGTATCTCCCTTTGTTTACGTTCATGTATAAGCTCTATCTTCGGTTTTGTTGAAGTCTCAGATCTAGGAAAATACTTGGGTTTTCCTTCCCTCCCCTCCAAAGTTAACATCGTATAAAAATAAACTCGGACATTCAATCGAATAGGAAATGTCATATTAGTTAGTTACCATAATATCTTTAAGGAAATTTAATTTCTAATTTAACATCGTATAAAAATAAACTAGTAACAAAATATTTAAATTTATATAATCATCGAACCCATCAAATGGTCTTAAAGGTTAAGAAGACTGTTATTCTCTCTAGATATCTAGGGTTGAAGGAGATGTATTTGTGGGTATATATGTTTTGTTAATGACTAAAAAAATTATAAACAAATATTATATTTTAATTACCTAGACTATTCATAAAAAAATTAAATAATCATTTTAGAATAGTATTAAAAGAATAAAATCGGTCATATTTTAAAAGATCACCAATTAAATATTGAACCTTTAGGAATAAAATTATAAATTTATAGCTAGACTTTGAAAGATTTTTCAAAAGAATCATTTAATTGAGTAATCACATAATTAAACGCATATTTAATCAAAACTACCTCGAACCAACTAGAACATCAATCAATCAAGATATGATTTAAGGACTAAACTTGAATACATTCAAAACTATGGGTTGATCTCCTTTATTAGGGATCGATCTTTTTAATCTAAATTTATGTAAACTAAAATTTGGGACCTTAGTACTATAAAAAATATCGATTTCCTTTCATAGGAGATATGTACATCATCGAATTCACGAATTAGATTTTTTTTTAGTCTAATAATCGAAAAATCATTTGGATGACTAAATACTTATTTTAATCATCAAGAAGGGTGTTTGTTTTGATTAATTTCTTTAAATCAAAAGATAATTTGATTTGAGATTAACTTAAAATTTGAGAGTTCAAAGCTTGTAAAATTGAAAGATTTATATGACCATTATTCCAATAATAATACTTACCGACAATTAAGAAAATGGAATGTATATGTACCAAGATAAGGTAAACGATCCTCCGGATGAATACAGCAACCAGAACTCCATTATCTAGTCAAAACCCAGATATTTTAGGTTGGAAGTGGAATGCTAAGCGGCGGTTTACCATTAAAAGTGCATATAACAGGTGTAGGATTGTGATCGATAGGGATGATTTGCTGGTATGAAGCTGATAAGTGATTTATATAGTTATTATTTTGTTGTTAATTATTTTTTGGGGTCGGTTTATGTTGTTGATTTAGGGGTTTCTATTCATTTTCTGTGTAGGACGTTGGATTCTAGAAACAGTACTAAAATGACGCAATTCTGCAATTTTTATTCTGGAATCAAGGTTGACTTAGTGGGCATGACAACATACGACGTGGTGTCCAGTCAGTAGCATCTAGAAGGTCTAGTCAGCATTCTGGAAGGGCGGACGAGCGGATCAGCTTCAATTCGAATTTAAATTAGGAAGGAATTATCTTTTTGTTCTTAGGATTTCGTTCGAAACAAATTCAAGAATTATCTTTTATTATTTTGAATGACATTTTAGGGTTTTAAAAAGATTATAAATACCCCATCGGGGTAAGACTGAAAACATATCTCGAATTAACTTGTTCTTTTCTTTCTTTGGTTTTATAAAGTTCTTCTTTTCTCTAATTTTGTTTTCTTTTATATGTTTAGCTAAGTTTTTAATAAGCCAAAGGCTGAAGCGATGACTCAATTCCGATCGTGATAATTTATAAGCACCTAATACCTTTTGGGTCATATTCTCAATTTTCTAGAATTAAGGATTAGCAATCGACCATCCTTTTAAAATCAAAATGTTTTCATTTCAAAAAGAGCTCGTTGTCTTGATTGTTATTTCGATTTAAAGTTGGGAGAAAGGATTGACTTGTAGCACATTTGACTTCCTGTGAAGACACTTAGCGGCGGCTCGTTAAGGGAAATTGAGATTGAATTCGCTTCTCATTGAGACAACATAACCTGAGTTAGGTTTTTCCAAAACTTTAAACAAAGTTGGTGCTAGCAACGATAGTCGTGGTTAGCCCATATAAGGATTGAGATCCAAAGATTGATTTTAGATAATCAGTTTACTTGAAAGAAAAACAAGTTATAAGGATTGGGCCTTGTAGATTGTAACCGACATTAATCCAAAGCAAAAATACTTATTCAAGGATCGATGGAATTGAGGCAATGCAAAACCTAAGGCTATTTTCATTATAATGGTTTTTCATCTAAATTTCCTTTCTTTAAATTTCTTTTCTTTCAATTAATTATTTTTATTATTGTCAATCACAACTCCCCCATTTTTACTTTTAATTTTCCCCTAGATCAAAATCAAAGCCTTCATCAACAGTTTTCTTAGTCCCTGTAACACCCATTTCCCGTATACATCCCCGTACACGAGTCAAAAATGTCACACGACTTTTAAAACATTTTCGTACTTGAAAACCAATAAAATTTTGTTTCTTTAAATAAATGATTTAATAATATAGTTTATAAAACGTTCTACAAATACATACATACATATATATATATATATATATATAAACTAGTTTAAGTCAAACATAATATAATGCTACAATCCATATGTCAAATACATACCAGAACATCATCATATAACTAATACATGCCAACTAGTAATATCAAAAGTAAACATCTAAAGATGTCACACAGTTACTGATGAGACAACCTTGATTTACAATGTCAGTTGCACTCCTCACTCTGACCGTACACTATTACCTATGCGTGAAAATCATCACACGCTAAGTATTCACTTAGTGATGCATAATATAATAAAT